GAGTGGATGGTAGCCCAAAATTTGAAGTCCAAAAAATTTAACCAATTCATTATAAAAGAAGTCCACACGGCTCCGGGGGGTTAATAAAGGCCTTGTGTAAGAAAAATATCCACGTTTAAAACGTTATAAACCTTAATCTCTAGCTTCCGCTAACTGTCGTGTGTGCGCTCACGAGAGAGTGGTGTCCAGCGGATGACGTAGGTGTAGCGTAAACTCTGGTGAGAATATGCTAGTCTTGCAAGAAACAAGTTTTGTTTACAGCAAAGGAAAACCAGTGTCCTCTTGGCTTATATTGAAATCCTCCGACATTTTTCTTTACAAATCCTCGTTTTGTACTACTAATTCGTGACCGGTGTTGTTTGTTTTGCTCTCTCCTCTGCGCTTCCACATTCGTCACTTCCGCGTTCGTCACTTCCGGGTTCTTCACCGTGTTTGCCTATGTCCTACGTCATCTGCTGGACACCACTCTCTCGTGAACGCACGTACGACAGTTAGCGGAAGCTAGAGATTAAGGTTTATACCATTTTAAATGTGAATATTTTTCTTACACAAACGCATCGCGTCGCTTCAGAAGGCCTTTATTAACCCCCCGGAGCCGTGTGGACTTCTTTTATAATGTATTGGTTCAATTTTTTGGACTTCAAATTTTGGGCTACCGTCCACTCCCATTATAAAGCTGGGAAGAGCCAGGATGTTTTTTAATATGACTCCGATTGTATTCGTCTGAAAGAAGAATGTCATATACACCTAGGATGGCTTGAAGGTGAGTAAATCATGGGGTCATTTTCATTTTTGGGTGAACTATCCCTTTAAGCATGGCATTTTACAAAAAAAAAATGTAATAAAAAAATAACTATCTGAAAAATGAAAAAGTATATAGAATTTAACTATATTTACGTTTATATAATTTTCTTTTTTATTTATCCCAGTTGTACGCTTGATTTTTTTTTTATGTGGTTACATCAACTGAAAAATCATTATGAAGGAGCAGAAAGAGTATGAAAATCCTTCTACCCAATTTTTTCTTTAGATTAACATACGTGACAAATCATTCACAGTAAGAGTTGAGACATTTATTATGTAAAAAAAAGGTCTATTTTAAAATTGTGTTGTCGTTAATAACTTAATGAAAGTTATTAGCCTTTGCCTCGACGGAGAGTAGATCTGCTATGCGAGTGTTTCTCCATCAGTGATGCATCATTCCATGAGACGAACCCAAGGGAGTCTGGGATGCTCTGTTGAATACTGAATATGATCTCAGTCTTTTGATGGTGACTCAGCAGTGGTCATGTCCTACTTCTCTGCTACAGAAGAAATGTCAAATCTTCACAGGCTTTATCTGCAGAGCCCCTGCAGCCTGTTAAACATTAACCACTGGTGTATTCCCTGCGTGCTGTGAGCCAGGCGAGGACGGCGTTGGACAATGCTGCACGTCCTGCATAACAAACATTGTTTGGCTGGCTTTTTCACTCCAGACAGATATGCTCCACGGCATAGTGAAGTGCCCGAGGAGGGTGCACGGCTTCAGTACACTGCAGGCACGATACTGATTTATAATCATGTGTATGTCACATCAAGGCGGTGTTTTGGGATTTATTAAAATAGTGTGGGACAGACAGTGCTTTCTCTTGCGTAGTTAAATGCTGTGGAGGGCTTAATAGCTCTGGCCTTCCCTTCAAAACTGGCTATTTTTACACAAATAATGTTCTGTAAATTAATTTTGAAGTAGTTTTAGTGTTGGGTCAGATTAAAATAAGATATTAAATAGACTGCAAAAATAAGTGATGGGACCCATCCAGTTTTATTATTGCTTGTTTAAAATAATATATTTTTTATGTATTATTAATATTATTATCTATTTTTCGGTTTCTATTTTAAATTTAGTTTAATTTAGTGCTTTTGTCATTATTATTTTGATTTAGCTTTATATTTTTTAAACTTAATTTCAATAAATGAAGGTAATTTTTAATAGTTTTAGTTAACAATAACACTGGATCCACCTCTTTGAAATGTCCATTGTTAAAGAAATTGTATGATAGCAATGCATGGCTACTTTTATGGTACATATTTAGCATTTTTGTTTTACAACTCAAAATTTCAGTTCAATTAAAGTTCAATTAAGATTCAATTTTGCTTACATATAAAAGAGACTCTTAGTTATTTCACTTACACTTTATTTTACAGTGTGTGCACTTACCCGGGCTTACAGTGTACTTAAGGAAGTACTGGATAATATAAGTTAACTACTTGGGATAGGTTTAGGGGTAGGTTCAGGGAAAGTAACTAGTTATTACCCAGTTATTATAATTAATATAAGTATATGAGTAACAGGACTATAAAATAAAATGCTATCATTATTGTCTTTTTGAACTAATCATTAAAGTACCAACTCATAAAAGTCATTAAATTTAGGAATCGGACACCACTGGTTACACACTGTTTTTGACTCATTCAAAAGAAACATGAGGGTTAGCGATAATCATTTTGGGGTGAACTGTCCCTTTAAGGAAGTTGAAAC